GTATCGACGTTCAACTACAAATATCAAATGTTGAAGTGCCAATAGGAATGAATCAATGCACGTTCAAAGCAATATGTGATACTTTTAAGATTTACTGTAACGTTAAAAATTTTTTCTTACCTTCATATTTGGAAACGATCTCACGAAGTGCAAGTCATGAAATACTTGGTCCCTTATTTGAACATTATTTAGCTGACCTTTTTTGTATAGAAGTAACTTATCAGCTGCCTATGGAGACCACTGAAGATTTAGACATTATGCAAATTGAAGAATCAAATGACATGCAAATAATTGAAAATGCCTTAAATGGAAATCAAATAATTGAAAATGCCTTAAACGGAAATCAACCAATTTCTCAAAATGATCAAATTTGGTCGGCTAAAAGAAAACTTGAGACTAAAGAAATTAAAGAGATCAAAGAATTGTGGAAACAAAAATTAGAAGGCATGCATTATAATTCGATTTATGACGAAAGTGGATTAACTAGTCCTTTTAGAAATTGCCTTCGCATATTTGTCGAGGAAAAGTTACCATACGCGGAAGAAAAATTAAAGAAGATTAATAATAGTCTCTCTAAACGAAGGAAATATTAACCAGGAATCAGAATTTGATGAAGGTTAAAATCAATAAATAGTGTCGTAGACACGTACGTAAGTATATATTACTTTGTTACATTAGCTGCGAACTAAATCTTGGTTCAGAGTAATCTAACATTGCATATATGTAAGTATCCTTTGTTTAAATGCAATGGTCTTCGCTGAGCTTCGGACAATAAAGACCTTTGCTTTTCAATTATAATATTTCAGTATTTAAACATTCTTATATGTCTATTTTTTTAATGTCATTTCTCTCGCTAGATTGCTGCGTAGTGTGTTGAGAGAATTTTTTTTAAAAAAAATTGGTAAAAAAACAAAAAAAAAGATAAAAACAAAAAAAGTGTTACAAAAAAATTTAAAAAAAAAAGTAAAAAAAAAAACAAATTTAAAAAAGTGTAAAAAAAAAAAAAAAAAAAAAAAAAAAAAAAAAAAAAAAAAAGTTAAAAAAAGGTAAAAAAAAAAAAAAAAAAAGTTTATCAAATTTTTTTTTATATTGAAAAAAATAAAAAAAACA